CTGTGATTCCATGCCAAAATCTGAATATAATCATTAGAATGGTCCAGGCATATTCAGACTCTCCCAAGTCATCACAACCTCTGCAGGTTTCAGAAATCTGCAAGGGCCAGGAATCATTACCAGTTCTGAATATGGAGGAAGTTTCCTGGTTTTGGAGGATGAGAGAGCTCATTTCTTGTGTCTTGGCCTGTTGGCCTCAGGAAAAGTGATCAGACTGTTATAGCCTGAGATTGCTGCCCTTGGTCAGCTCGTGGCTGTGTGGGACAGGCCACCAGGACTCTTCTGCCCCCAAAGCACAGCCCAGAGCCTGTCCTGATGTGCCTTTCTGGGCTCCCAAAAGGGCTCTGACCCTTTTACACATCCAGATCCTCTGAGCCACCTCAGCAAATCCAACCGTGCCAAGGCCCAGGCACAACCCTGCAATAGTTCACCCGGTAAAATTATCAACACAGCCCCTGGAAGTTTTGGCCAGGGCCAACTAGATGGATGTAGCCACGCAGAGTTGAGCCTTGCCAGCTGGCCAGGGCCTGCTTCATTTCACGATACAACACCAGAGCTTCAGCCCCCACCAGAATCCATCCCCTGTCATCCCCATGGAGCAGCTTTTTCCACAGAGCTCAGGGTAGGTTGTGTTTTCACAGCAGGAGCATCTCCTCTTTTCCCTCCTGGTGGGCTCCTAAAGCTCTTTCCAAAGGTTATTTGACCACATTTGGTGGATTTGGCTCCTTAAAAAGGCACTTTGGCGCAGGGACAGCAGTGACTTTGACCCGAGCAGTTCGTGTGCTGCTGTGACATACGTAGTAAATAAGCGTGAGGGTAATTATACCAACAGGAATTCTGGGAGCCCTGCCAGGAGGGAGGGGACAGCCAATCCTTTGTGCACTAAAAAAAAAAAAAAAAATCACCCCAATCCCCCTCCCAATCCCAAATTAGTTTTATCTCTTGAAGCTGTGATGAGACTTAGAACTAAAAATACACACAAATACACATATTCTTATATAAAAATAGCCATCATTCAAAAAGAAAAAAAAAAGTCCAAAGTTAGGCTCCTGTGTCCAAAATTAAGCTCTTAAATAAATAAATTAGCCTGATTTTCAAAAGCATGGAGCAGTGAATGGTTTTCACTGACATAAGAGGAAGCATCGTGTTGCTAAAGATTGAAGATCAGGCCTGAATATGGATTTTAAAGTCTAATTATAGAAGCCTGTTTGCCACCAGCTTGACCGGGAACAATGAATTTCAGGTGAAATCACATTGATTTTTTTTTTTTTTCTTAATTCTTCTTAAGTTGTCTACACTTAACCAATGCTAGGAAAGGTTTGAAATACTCTCAAATAAGTAAATAAAATAACACAAGGAAAGAGATGACCTGGAATAAAACTGTTTAGACCAGTTCTCTACATAGATGTTTGGAAATAGGGTTAAGAATTATCAGTGTTGGAGCTGGGTGAAATTTTAAGTTGATGAATTAAGTAGGAATTAAGTAGGTATTTATTGCTTGCTGAAAGCCCACAAGGTGGAAATATTACTTTATTACTTTTATCACAATCCACTGGCATCAAGAAGGAATGGGATCTTAGTCATTCCTTTCCTCTCTTTGCCAGATTTGGGTCCGAAGGATGCTGAAGACAGAGCACCATATTTTTTCATGGACTGAAGAGAAAGAAAAATGAAGTGAATTTACTTTCAGCTGCAAATGGTTCTCGGAGCTGCTTTGCTCACACTGCTCAACATTTGCCAAGGGGTTCCTGAGGTCACAGTCCCATGGGATAGGGACAGATTTGTCCTTTAGGGTCAGATTGGGCAGGGCTGGGATTTATTCTGTGAAGGAATTATGTCCACCCTGGATGGAGGAGCATCAGCTCACAGGGCTGTGCTGCACTCATCTGGTGTTTAGAGGCAGGGGACAGCACCGAAATATCTGGGGTTTGATGACAAAAAAACTTTGAGAGCACTTTTTTGGTACTCTCTGGCTCAGTTTCCCCATCTGTGGGAGAGGCACAATGCAGGTGACCTTTGTCAAAGGCTATGGGCTCAGCAATCAGGGAGAACTTGGTGTTTGTGCCACTGCCACTGATGGAGACAGGATCAGGACACTGTGTCAATCCCATGAATTTGAATATTTTTCCATGCATTCTGCCTCCATGGGTTGGTGCCATGTCCTCTTTCCATGGCCAGTAAGAAAAATCTGTGCTTAAACTGTGGATGGTGGTGAATCCCTAGAGATTCACACTAACCCCAGAGATCCAGGAGAAATCATTGCAGGGCATCAGGATAGGACATCAGGACAGGACATCAGGATAGGACATCAGGATAGGACATCAGGATAATTTCATCCTAATTTTTTTGAGTGGCCCACTGTCATTGTTGCAGTTTGGTTCAGCCAACCTGGAGGGCTGGGAAAAATAAAGATGGTCTTAAAAATAACCCAAAAGTGGAGACAGCTGTTGGGAACAGCAGTGTGGAAGGAGTAGACATGTAGGAAATGTGAACTGTGGGAAGGCACTGAAAGAATTTTTTTTTTCTAGAGAAAAGGAGGTTCAGGGGGGACCTTCTTGTCTTCTTGACAGGAGGAGGCAGCTGGGGGGGTTGGGCTCTGCTGCCAGGGAACAAGGGACAGGATGAGAGGAAACAGCCTCAAGTTGCAGCAGGGAAGGTTCAGGTTGGACACCAGGAAGAATTCCTTCAGGCAAAGGGTTATCAGGCATTGGAAGTGGCTGGTCAGGGAGGCAGTGGAATCATCATCTCTGGAGGGAATTAAAAGCCATGTGGATGTGGCACCTGGGGACATGGGTTAATGGTGGCCTTGGCAGTGCTGGGAGAATGATTGAACTTGATGATCTTAGAGGTATTTTCAAACCTTAATAATTCTATGATTCTGTGGAACTGTGGGTTTGGTTTTTTTTTTTTTTTTTTTAATAATCTGGGGAAATGAAAGGTTTACATGGCAACTATGTGCAAACAAGTAAAAGACTGCTGCAGGATGAAAACTAATAAATTCTTCTTGTCTGTGGCTGGGGTGATGAGAAATGAATGGTTTAACCTTCCGAAGAGGAGTTTAGGTTTTGTGTACCAGCAGGAATGGGAGCTTCTGGGGAGGGGGAGGTCATCCAGGACTACAGGACAGATTTGGTGGAATTTGGCAGAGGTGATGGTGCCTTTGTCCGTGGTCAGCACCTTAAGGGCACCACCGCTTGGCTTTTGCTGGCCCTGTGTCACTGACATTATATAAACCATTGCATTCTCCTTTTTCTGCTTTCTCCTTGAGCCACGACGCTCTCCCTGACTTTGCCTTCCCAGCTAAACTGCATTTATTTAATTCCTGGGTGAAGGGAAGGTAGGATGCCTGTGTCGTTCTGCAGCTCCTGGGGCTGGGGTCTTCCATGGAAATGCCAGGTGCAGGTGGTGGATTTGGGAGAGCAGGTGCTCCACGGCCATTTCCGTCCCACTCGGGGTCTGCTGTGGATGTCACACCAGTGTCACCAGTGTCGTATGACTGCCGTAGCATTTTCTCGAGTGTCGAGCCCCATCTGGTGGCTTTCCTGCGTCATTTTTTGGTGTCCTTGCAGTCCCTCTTTCGGGATTTTTCGCCTCCTGTGCCAGTCAGCTGCGAGCGGGCAGGAAGGACAAGATGCTGGATAAAGGACAGGGTTCGCAGAGCTGCCTCTGCTTCTCTCCCAGCTCCCCGTCCCTGGGTGTAATTCGGGGATCCGGAGGCTCTCCAGGCTCACGTCCTTCCCTCCTGCTCTCGCCGGCTGTGCAGTCTCGCCCGAGTAGCAGGGGATGATCTAATCGTTTTGGCCAAACCCCAGCTTGTGCCGTGAGCCCCTCCCAGAGCCTCCAGAAGGCGTTTCATCCCGCTGCCGTGCTGGCAGCGGAGCTGGGACAGATGAACAGTCCCGGGAGGGGACATTTCCGACGACTGACTGGCTCAGATGACCAGCTTTAGGGTCGGCATTAGGTGAAATGGTTCCCATCCCAAATGAGGTTACAGCCACCGCTCAGGATGAGAAGGAAGAACACACAATGTTGGATTGTCGATCCCTGGAAGTGTCCAAGGCTGGGCTGGACAGGGCTTGGAGCAACCTAGAATAGTGGAAGGCGTCCCTGTCCATGGCAGAGGGTTGGAACAAGATGATTTTTAAGGTCCCTTCCAACCCAAACCATTCTGGGATTCTGTGACATCAACAGGCATTAGAAAGGACTCTGTTGAGGTCTTTTCTTAAATGCCACAAGTCCTGAGACAGAGGCAATGGTAGAGCTGTGACTATCCATGCACGAAACACGTCCTTGTACTCCAACATTGCCCAAAGTCTCAAAGCTGACCAGTGACAAACTGTGGCCTTTCACATCTGTGGGTCACACACGTGTTGCGTGTGAAGGTGGTGTCTCCTTGCTCCACCTATGATGAAATAGGGTCAAATCATAAAATCAGAGAATATTCTGAGCTGGAAGAGACCCACAAGGATTGTCAGATTCCAATTCCTGGACAACTTCAAGAATCCCACAATGAGCCTGAAAGTGTGGTCCAAACACTTCTTGAGCTCTGGATTCTGTGAGAGAAGCTCCTTACCAGAGCGCTGAGGGGGTTTAGATGGTCTGTCAAGCCACTTCCAAGCGTTAGAAGCAGTATTTTTCATGTGGGTTCTCTTCTTGTGATGAAAATTAGGTGAGGGGGTTGTTTTCTTGTGCTTCAAAAGCATTTCCTACTCCCAGGCTTCACATTTGGGCGGTACCAGTTAAAGTTTTCCCACCCCTGCAACACCAAATGCACTTCATTCTCAGGGTGGCATCTAGTTTAAGGCTGAGCTTGATGATCTTGGACGTCTTTTCCAACATTAATGATTACTCAGATTCTAAAGGTCCTCCTCAGATCTGACAGGAGGGAGTGGAAGAACCATGCAAACCCCAATGTCTCCCCAGAACCCCATTCCCCCACAAACAGATTTTGCTGCCGCTCCAACATCTCACGCCCAGCTTTTCCCTCCTGTTCCCTGCAGGTATATCCGAACAATGTACCTGGGGATCCAGAGCCAGAGGCGGAAGGAACACCAGCGGCGTTTCTACTGGGCTATGATGTACGAATATGCAGATGTAAACATGCTGCGCCTCCTGGAAACGTTCCTCGAGAGCGCCCCTCAACTGGTGCTACAGCTCTGCATAATGATCCAAAAGAACCGTGCAGAAACATTACCATGTAAGTGGCCCCCTCTTCCCCACCTTTCCAGCCTCTCCCAGTCTCTGCTCCCAGTGCCCAGCAGCTGATGGATGTGCTGCTCACTTCCCACCCTGGCTGGGGGCTGTGACTTTGGGACAAATCTCTGCTGCGTTCGCTGGGTAAAATTTCTGCTTGTTCCTCTGAGGGGGAAAAAAAAAGTCAGTATCAAGGAAAAGATGGGATTCAGCTCTTCCACGCCCAGTCCAGGCTAAAGGAATGACGGTGGTGTCAGGAGGAGGCAAGCAGGCTCTGCTGCTGTGGCACCACTCGTGTGTTGCTTGGCACTGGGCAAACACGACCATTCCTTGCCTCAGTTTCCCTCCTTACATAAGTAGGGTGATAAAACTGGCCAGATTTGAGTTTGTGTTGTGAGGACAAATGATTCAATGCCTATGCAATGCTCTGATGGTGTTAAGTGTAAAAAAGGGGGTTTTTAACAGCTAAATGCTGTAGGGCCTTTTCTGATGAGTGCCCAGGAGTTAAGGTCTTGTCATTGGTACCATGGTTCTCACCAAGCCCAGGAAAAGAGAAGGGAAAGGCAGTGGAGGGGATTGTGTAGGAACAGGGATGTAGTGGAGGTTCAATTGGAAAGGCAAGTAAATGATGAGAAGAGGCTTGGAAGCCACCAAGGGAATATTTTGCCAGTTCTGGTGTCCACCACTGCTGTGATGTGCTGAGCATGGGGCATCTGTCCCAGCTGAGAGGGACATGGTCCTGTCCCAGCCCTGGCATGAGCAGCTCTCCCAGCCCATGGCCATGCTGGCAGCCTGGGTGTGACCAGCCTGAGGGACAACCATCCTTTCCAAGGACCAGCAGTGGAGCTTCTTGGTTATTCAGCCCCTGTTCAGTTTGTGCACCACGGGTGACGCTCAGCTTCCCAAAGACAGCCTGGTTGGGGCCTGTCATTTCTGAGGAGTTTTTGGAGCTGAGGTGGGAACTGAAATTGGAATTTGCTTTGGGGTTAAATTTTGCTGGTTTTGCCAAGGTCACCATTACCTACAGCATCAAGGAAGGCCAGCCACTCTCCCTTTCCTCTGTATTTCCAGCATGTCCATCACAGTTGTTTATAGAAGCTTCCCTCCTCCTATTTATGCAGTCTTTTCTTGAAACCTCTCATCACGAGCTCTCCAGGCCTCCAAAGTGCTGACATGATGAATATGCCTTTCTACAACTCCTGCTAGAATGGCTCACATTTGCCAGCCCCCTTTTCCTGCTGCTTCCAACGTTATTAGCCCGACTGAAAATGCAGAAATCACAGCCCAGGAGGTCTGCCAGGGCGTTCTGCAGATTGTTGGACTCGCCGCAGAAAGCGCCGGGTGAAGTTTGTTGGCCTCTGTTGCGCTGCGAGTCAGACAACGTGGGAGAATAATCCCTCCAGGCTTTCAAATCCGTGGCTCTTCCACTTTGCCACTTCCAGGCACGGCTGCCTAATCCACTGAACGAGCTGCATCTTTTCCAGCATCCCCCCTCCCCTCCCTTCCTCGGCTTTGCAGTTCCTCTGCTCCTCCAGCGCGCCGAGCCGGCTGCGCTCTCTTCCAAGGCAGTGCACGTCCCTGCCTGCCTCCCCGAGCCCTGGAGGGCTCTTTGCTCGCCACGCTCCAGCAGCCGAGCCCGCCGGGTCCCCAGAGCATCCTCTCCCTGCCTCCCTTCCCGCTTGTGCCAGGGATGCGGGCACTGATGGATGAGAGCAGCAGAGCTTGCTCAGCGCTCCTTGACTCCTCCGGTGCGAGGTTTCCTAGAGCTCCTCCATGCCCGTTCAGTTCTTCTCTCTTTCACCTCCTTCTCCTTCTCCTTCTCCTTCTCCTCCTCGCAGCCGGTCCATAATTATATAAAAGCAAATTAAATGCTAAAAGGAGCCGTTGTGAAAGGGAGCATCCAAGATTTTCACTTAAAGCAAAGGGAGATGGATAATGTTAGGAAGGCAGTGTGTTTAAAAACCAAATTAAGTCTCTCCTGGCTCATCAAGTCTGTGGGAGTGTGGCTCGTCACAGGAAGGGGCCAGTTCTGCCCTTAAACAGGGACAGCATCAGCTGCATCCATGAGGAAAGCACGCTGAAAAAACAGCCCAGGGAAGGGCTTAAAAGCCCAGGTACAGCCCCTGCTGATGTGTTCAGACTCCACCTGCTTCCATACATCCCCCACAGACTCCTATGGATTCATTTTAGTGCCAGACAAGGTCAGTTCACCATTTCCTGTGCCATACATCCCTCCTCCAATCCTCAGCCCTCCCTGCACTTTAGATTAGATTGTAATGCCAAGCCCAGGCTCCACTTCTCCCCAAACATGTCAACTTCTATTTAAGGAGCTTTAGAAAGGGAATTATTGGAATGGATAGCAGGAGGTTTTGCTTTTGTCTCCTAATTTCTGTGTTAAGAGAGCTGTTGAGGAAAGAAGAGTGAACACATTGGGTCTTTACTCAGACCCAGAGCATCTCCTCCAAAGCATTTCTGCCACAGAGCATAGTAGTAGAAAGGGCTGATCTTGAAAGGATGATAGAAATGGATACAACCAGGATAATGCTTAATTTCATGGCTTTCAATCTGTTGGGTGGGTGAAAGAAAGAAAAACCTCATCATGCCTTACAAGAGCTATTTGACCATGAGAGGTACCTGTGTGAGATGGTTGGGTGGGACCTGTGTCTGTTGTTCCTTCAGCACCCAAAGAACGGAGGAGTTTCACCCAAAAATGAGAATGTCCAGCAGCAGAAGTGCTGGTGCTGGAATTTGAGGTCAAGACCCAGTCTCAGTAAAGCTTGGAACAAGACTCAAGCTGGGATTTCATGAGAGTCAGGATTCATTCCTTCATCATATCCCCAGCACAAGGTAGAGCAGATCCCAGCTTAGCTCCTCTTGTCTGAGGAACAACAGAAAAGAGCACAGAAAGAAAAGAGGTGATAACTCAGTGAACTCCATCAGCTGGGCAGTGGAAGGTGAATGCTGAGAGCCTGAGCTGGAATTCTTTGGTTGGTGGAGCAAATGGAGCAACATCAGCTCCTGAATATCCATGTGGAAGGAGCTGGTGTTGGTAGGCAGGCCCTCTGTGCAGGATTTATCTGCTACAACCACAGCTGGGTGGGCCCAAAACAGAGTCAAGAGAAGGTGAGGGAATAAGGATGGATCCAACATGTGGAACAGCTCATGTCCAAAGCAGCTGAAGGAGGTGGGAGGAGATGCTCAAGCAGCAGCAGCAGCACCTTTCCCCAGGGAATCTGATGCATTTATACCTACCACTGGGGTTAGGCTGAAGGTGGGGAAGGGATGCTGGAGAGGATGCAGCATTGTCCTTCAGCCAGCCTAACTGTGTCTGAGGTTTAGGAGAGGATAAAAAGGGTGTCCATCTCTCAGACTCCAGGGCAGCAATGGCCAGAGGACTTCCCATGATTTAAATAATGTATTTGCAGGGGAAAACATAGCACTAACAACAGAAAAAGCTCAGCAACCCAGATCCTCATTCCATAATCGCTCCCAGCAGATAATCCACCTCACTCCTTGCAGAACAAACCATCCTTAACCCCTTTCACTCCTCAGAGGTGCCACTTCCTCCGCTCCAAGTTGGAAGGAACTGATCAAACCAGCTTAAAGGAGACACCCAACCTCTAGGCAGACAGGGAGGTGAGAGGGATTCCAGTTTTTCTGGCATAAATCTCCTCTTAATGAGGTTTGCTTCCACTTTTTTTTAAAATTTTTTTTTAACCTGGCTTCTTTAAAGCTTAATGAGATTTAGCAGAAATCCCAACACCCTTCCACTCGTGTCACAAGTTCTTTACACAAAGATTTCTGCCTATATGAGGCTGCAGTTTTCAGCACAGGGTCTCTCTTCCAAAAAAAGCCCCATCTCTCCACAGATGCTGTGTCCATGTCCTTGATAACCCTACAGTTGATCTGAGAGAGATTAGCAGCATAAGCCTTCCTTTTGCAAAGTCCTGCTGGAGTCTCGGGGATTTTGGCAGGTGTTTGCACTCCCCACAGCCCTCAAAAGTAGGCTGAAGCTGCTCATGTATTTAAAGAAAAGCAGCATTAACTTAGGGGTTTGGGGGGCCATTTTATTTAAGCAGAGTGATACAAACTGGGGATTAAAATGGATTTCAGACATCTCAGCTACAGATGTGTGCTGGCTGCAGAGGTATCCTGGTGGAGTTTGCAAATCATCTTGTCCCTCCCAAAGTGAAAAGTATTTTTTTTTTTAGTCATGTTCTCCCTCATCTGTGCCATGTCTGGGGACCATTTTTAATCATTTATGATTCCTTTTTGCAGGGGCATACTAAAGATCATTTTTTGTGTCACTTAGTTTAGAAAACTCATCTGGTCAACTGAGTTAGAAAGGGACCCTCAGCCTGTAGGTGTTCAAAAATGCGAGTTTCAAGTGACATCAACACTGGCCTGAACTTAAATGAGGAGACTAAAATCCCCAGGTCTCCAGTGAAAGTGAAAAAAGACTCATGAGATTTGAAATTTCATCCTTTTCACCACTTGAAGGAACACTTAAAGTTAGTGCAAGACCCTTCATGCTGGCCTGGGACAAACAGCTGTGCCCAAAAATGTTGAAACAGGAATCCAAACCCCCAAATCCAATCTCTGTGACCTCACAACACAAAATTGTCCCCATTAATGCAGAGCCGCATAACCTCATAAATAAACCAGAGTTCATGCTACACAGGCACCAGATGCCATGGGGATCAGTGCAGAATTCAATATGGCATCTGCAGATTCGGTGTGGGAAAGTCCTATTTCTGCACAGCAGAAATCCTCTTCCTGACTGGTACATTTTTCCTAAGATTCACCAAGGGAACTTCACTGTATGACTAAAGAAGTCTTTGCCTTATGAAGTCCTCAGTAACAGGAGACGGGGTGGGGACAAGATCTACCAGAGCCACACTCTGGGCTTTGGCTCAGGTTCTGAGGCAGATCATGAGCAAAAAGAGATTCTACAACTTGTTGCCCAAAGGCAGATATTCTTTTTTCCTTTGTTCTGATGTCATT